ATAGGGGAAAGGCAGCTCCTGTGAGATGTGGGAAGGAGCATTTCAGAAATAGATAAACAATGTATTTGCTGGTTTTGCAATTTTTCTCCCTGCCATGGAGGGAGCAGCACTCAGAGGGTTTCGCAAGGAGCGTGAGGAGCTCTCCCCACCCAGCACTCAGGGTGGGACCTGCTCAGGTTGCATCTCCTGTGCTTTGCCCTCCAGCCTGGGAGAAACCTGCTCCTGACGTGTTTATACGGAGCCCTCACTTCTCTGTCTGCTGCTCTAGAAACAAACAAATTGCAAGGGAAAAAAATCCAGGCAGGTAATGAACTGATGGCGTCCTCAGATGCGGAATCAGAACCACCCAGTTCTCTGGGAGGGCTCTGACGTGGGAAGGCAGAGCTGGATCCGGGTGCCATTCCTGGGCTGATGCACCTTGCTCCGTGCTTCTGATTCTCTGGAAACTAGGGGGAGGACAGACACTTTTCCTGCCAAGAAAATGGGTTTATGGAAGAAAAAACCAGAAAAGGACTGATGGCTGATGGCTGGGAAAATGCCATTTTGACTTTCTCTCTAGAACCACTTTCATTCCAGCTGACATAAGAGTTTAAAGATGTTTATTTACCTGTCTCACATGTTGGATATTCCAGTGGTTGTTCCAAGAACATACTGCAGGCTGAGAACTGGAGATGCACAAATGCTCATTAATTTAAAGGCAGGTCTGTGCTGCTGCCAGGGAGGGAAGCTCTTCCTCCCTGGGCCTGACAGGAGCAGCAGTGCCACCAGTGCTCATCTCCAGTGCCTTTCCTTCCTCCCTGCCTTCCCTGACTGTGAATGAACAGCTCCCAGGGCCTGGCCTCACACAAACACACTCATTTCCCAGTGGGGAGGAGAAGTTCACGCTAAAATTCAGAATGTCGGGTGGCTTGGCTGCACCTGAGCATCCTCCTGCCTCCTAAAGCTACAGGGGACTGCCAGGGCCTGATGGAATGGCTAGAAGCAGAATCATTGGATCATAGGGTCGCAGAAGGGTTTGGATTGGAAGGGACCCTAAAGGTCCTCTCATTCCACCCTCTGTCAAAGGCAGAGACACCTTTCATTATCGCAGGTTGCTCCAAGCCCTATCCAACCTGGACTTGGGGATGGGGCAGCCACAGCTTCTTTGGGCAGCCTGTGCCAGGACTTCCCCAGCTTCACAGGGAAGAATTTCTCCCCAAAATTCCATCTAACGCTGCCTTCTGGCAGTTTGAAGCCATTCCCCTTGTCTTGTGACTCCAGTTACTGATGAAAGATCCCTCTCTATCTTCCTTGTAGCCTCTTCAGATTCTGGAAGGTGCTGTGAGGTCTCCACACAACCTTCTTTTCTCTAGGCTGAATATTCCCAACTGTCCCAGACTGTCTCCACTGGGGAATTGCTCCAGTCCCCTTATCAGCTTGGTGGTTTCCTCTGGACTTACTCCAACAGTTCCATGTCCTCATGTTTAGAGCACCAGAGCTGTGCAGAGGTGGGGTGTCACAAGAGCAGAGTAGATGGGAAAATCCTCTCCCTCCCTGCAGCCCACACTGGGGGATGAGCCCAGGACACGGATGATTTTCTGGGCTGCTCCTTGGCAATCCAAGGATTTGTGTGATAGAAGGAGACACCTTCCAAGCTGTCCTGACTTCTCAGCTCCTGTGGGGAGAAGCCTCAGTGATAGTCTGAGCCCTTCAAAATGCTTCCCAGATCCTGTAGTGCAGAGGGAATCGCTGCCTTCTGTTTCCACCCCACTGTGAGGGACTTCCTGGTCTTTCCCAGCATTTCCCCACATTCCTGAAGGCCAGAGGTGTGGATGGCACACCATGCACACACCCATGGGCAGGTGCAATTCACAGCATTAGGAAATCTGGGCACTGATGAGGTCTGAAGGCCAGAGATTGATTCTTTCCTTTCACTGCTGCTCTTCTGCACAGGGAGAGCTCCCTGCACACAGAGTGGCATCAGCAGAAGTTGGGAGCTGTTGTCAGGTCAGTCTTTAAACCACAGTCTGTGTGACACCTTCCCCCTCAGAGATGGCATCTTTCCAGACACAGAGTGCTTCACTTCTTCCTTGCTGGGCATCCCGTCTCACTGATGGCTGCAGGGAATTCCATTCCCTTGGCCACATTTGCTCCAGTGACGGTCCCTGACTTGGCTGGGTCAGCATGTAACACAGGAATTTAGGTTTAGTGTGGGGAAGCTTTGCCAGGAACAGGAAGGGATCAGATCAGTCCCAATCATGCAGAGATTCATAGGCTCAAGGTCTGAGGTCCATTGGAGCTGGCAGGAGAATCCTCATCGATCTGGAGACGTTGGATCAGGCTCCTGCTGCAAAAAGGAATTCTGAGATACCAATTAGGTCCGTGCCACTTGAAAGAGATTAAAATGGGCTCAGCCAAGCATCTGGTAGAATCAGCAATAAAAGTCCTGGACTGCCTTTGGTAATGAGCTTCACATCACACGGGAACGATTTTCCCATGAGTTTGCAAAAGGCTCCCCCGCCCTGCCAGGACCTGCTCGGACTTGCAGCCCAGGGCTCCTGTGTTGCAGAAAGGTGTCTTTGCAAAGCTTCACCCATCTCAGGGCTGCCAAGAAGGAGGACAACGCTATGGCCACTCTAAAACCCAGCAGGAAACCGAGAACCCATGGTTCTGTCCAGCAAACAGAGACTCCCCCTCTCCCCTCAGTGAGTGCACTGCGGAGCAAATCCCAGCTTTAGATAAACAACAAGTTCCTCTTCCAGGCTTCCTGAGTCAGTTTCAGCAGATGCCCAGGGGCTCCGCAGCTCTGCCAAGCTTCTGACAGCCCTACAGAATAATCCCAGCTTAAACTGACTCATAAAGAAAACCAGCAGGGCTCACATCTGACAAGCTGCTCTCTGTCCTGCAGCTGCTGCCAGCAGCTCCACTGAGCACAAAGTCCACCCTGCACCTTCCCACTGCAGCCCTGTCCATCCCTCATTGACCCCAGGGTTTCTGAACCCAGGAAAATTAATTGAAATGAGGATGATATCACCTCAGAAGGACATATATGGTAGATCATGACTTCATGGAAGGTCACTTCGCTGTTGCTGTGTGTGTACTCCCAAGCAAAACTGGGATGGACAAACCCTGTGTGTATGTGGCCATCCTGGATTTTATCCTGGGCAGCCCAGGGCTTGTCCCACTGCCAGAGAGCCCCCAAGACTCATCACATTCTACTGTGATGTGCCTCACTCTGGCTCTTCTTTTCACCTGCAACCTGTCCTTCCAAACCCTGGGAGCTTTGCAGGGAGCTCTGCAGGAGGCTCTGAACCTGCCCCTATGCCACTCAGCACAGTCTTTGTTCTGTGTCCTCTGGAGAAGGCACAGAGAGAAGCTGCTTCCCTTTTGTCCCCTTGCAGCAGTTCACCTTTTAGATGCACATCTGAAAGTCTGAAAACTACTCAAATAGCAGTGATCTGGGCATCAGCAGAGCTGGACTAAAGGGTTTAGTCGCACCCAGGTGGTGCCAGGGAGCCCCTTGGGAAGGGTTTCAGCCGTTACCTCTGCAGCTCTCTGGGACACAGCCAAGAGGATTCCCTGCATTCCTGAAGATCAGTTTGTTAATGGAAATATTTTGCTTAATTAATTAACATAATGACAATTCTGCAGAGTGTTGGAGGCAGGAATGATGCTGAGTGTGCTGGGGCTGGGATGGAGTTAGGGCAGAGCTGAAGGACTCAGGGTGAGCCAAGAGAGGATTCCTTCCCATTTCTCCATCACAGAGTGTTTCTAGGCTGGGAAATACAGAAATGTTTTTTTCAGTGACATGAACCATTACACCAGGCACAGGCTTTTCACAATTCCAAGGAAATGATTAGGAGCCAGTGTTGACTTTTCTGTCCCAGCCAAAGGGACCCTTGGGTGGCCTTTGCAGAAAGCAGCACCCAAAGTGCCACTGCTTAGAGTTGGATGAGAAAAGACCACTTTGATCCAACAGGAGACCATGGATGAGCTTTCCCAGGATAATCAAAGGGAGATGGGGAATGCAGTTTTATTCCTCAGTTCTTTTTATCCCTGTTTGCTGTATGCCTTGGAGATCTCCTTGCCAGACTGCTGAGAGGATGCAGAGCACAAACTCAGCATCATGGGGCAAACAGCCCTAAAACAGTTTAATTTCTTTTCCTTTCTGGAATACACACCTGAATGAGTTGTCTTGCATTTGGACATAACCCTGCAGGCTCCCACAAGCCAGCACTGACATCCCAAAGGTTTAACATTGCAGAAGAAGATTGAATTCAGTCCTGGTGTGGCAAACTTGATGCAAATCTGGAGGGCTTCTGATGATGGGGTGAAGGCATTTTGAACTGACAGCAGGGCAGCTAAAGCCATCTTTTTGTTTTGCTAATTGTAGATGGTTTATTTTATCATCTTTTATCCTTTCTTTTTTTACTTCCTGTCTTAGTCATCTCAGTTTTTATTGCATATTCCCCATTGTTCCCAGAGCATCCCATTATCTGAGCAGATACTACACGCCTTGTAACTCATAAGCAGATATTCATTGTCTCCACTTGTTTCTTGGCACAAGAAACAAGATTCAAGAACCTCTTCTTACTAATTTTTCACTCCCTTTACTCCCTTTCTAAGGAACTAATAGATGGGAGGGGAAGAAAAGAGCATAAGGAAATTAAAAATAACTGCAGGGACTGCTGGAAGGTCAGCTCCATGATAGTGAGAGATATGCAGTGAGCTCCTGTATTTACAGGGTGGGTTAGGCCCTGTGTGTGTTGGGAATAAATCACTTTCTCTATTGCAAGGGTCACGTTTCAGCTTTCAGTTCTACTTCAAAGCTCCTGGATCCCACATCCTGATCCCTCAGCATCCCTGATACCCAGGTGGGGTTTGGTTTCTTTGTAAGGGCTGCAGGCTGGATAACCTCCCATAAATTTTGGGCACAAAAATGCTTGAGAGGGAAGCAGTAAACGGGCAGCAAGGTGGGCCCAGCTCAGCTCGGCCCTAACGCTGTGTTTGGTGTTTGGCAGCTCTACAACGGGACGCTGAAGCGGGACGTGGAGAGCCGGCGCTACAGCTCCTACAGCCAGATGGAGGGCTGGGCCAGCCGGGCCCACGGCAAGGCGCTGTGCAGCCCCCGGGCCGGCAGCGACTACTGCTTCGTGCAGAACATCAAGAGCAGCCGCAGCGAGCCCGACCTCTACTGCGAGCCGCCCCGCGGCACCCTGCGCAAGGCCCACGGCGGCGGCCGGGCCGAGCACAAGGCCACGCTCAACCGCCAGAGCATCTACAGCAGCTGCAGCACCCAGCAGGGAACCAGCAGGACCAGTAAAAAAGTGCCAGCGCGGGCCCTGTCCTGCCCCTCGAGCAACAAGCCCGACGTGGTCTATGCCCAGCCCGTGATGAGCTGCAAGCAGGACGGGCTCTATGGACAGGCCCAGTCCAGCTCCAAGTAAGTGCTCTGACCCTGAGGGAGCGTGGACGGTGCTCGGAGCTCTGTCCCGCAGAGCCCTTACCAGCGCATCCTGCAGCAAAGTGGGGCAGATGAGTCACTCCTAAGGGCTTGATTTCGTTTCCTGGGCTGTGGGGGGGAACTGATAGGACTGGCTCAGTGCAGATATATCTGCTGTAGCTCTGTGATATTGGGCAACACAATCCCTCAGTCTCTGTGGTGGCATTAACCCACAGTGATATGAGGATGGGGAGGTGAAGAGCAGAAGGCTTGGTGTGCAGTCAAGGGTGTCTTTCCTGGCTGTCCTTCTGCTTCAGCCTGGCAGAAAACTTACCCAAAAAAACCCTGTCTTGGAAAGAGTCAGTTCCTGAGGGTCTTACTCAGAGCAGAGCTGAGAGCCTGTAAGCAGTGGTGTTTCCCTCTCTTCTCTCCACCCAGCCCCTACTTAATTTGCTCAAAAGGTCTGATTTGGGTTCCAGAAAAAAACTGAGTCATAAATTGAAATAAATATCCTAACTGAAATAATCTGACTAACCAGGAAAGAGGAGCCAGTGGAAGCTGTTCAGTTCTTTCCTGTCCAGAGCATCCAGTCCTATTTGGGATAGGAAAGATTTAAGGGTGGAGGACAGGCCATCATGTTGGAACATCAGATCACTTCTTGTAGATGTTGCCTACAAGCACAGGGCATGTAAAACACAGCAGTGAGCTCAGACCCTCCCAAGGATGTACCTGTGAATGCAGCAGAGTTGCCACTGACAATCACCTGGTTGGGTGGTGATTGAATGCTGCCCCAATGCCCTGTGCTACCTCCAGCTCTGGAGCACCAACCATGTTCTGTTGCAGTCTTGGGAGAGACTTGGTCTGCACAAGCCATAGTCTTGGAAGCCTTGGAAGACCATGGTTTGCATATTTTGAACTGCAAAACATTGCAGTGAAAGCAGGAGGAGGGGCTGCAGCTTCCACAAGAGTTCCCAGGGCTACTGCACTTCCTGTGCTGCATCACCATCATGCAGGACTGGCTCTGCACCAGCCCAGAAGCTCTCACAGCTCCCTGACAGAGGGGGAATTTTGTCACACTAACTGTAAAAGCTCCCGAACTCATTCCTGGTGGTCCCTGGTCCCAAGGAGAAATCTCCCACTGCAGGATGTGTATGAGACTGTTTATCAGGGCTCATAGACTTTGTCAGAACTCCCAGCAAAGGTCTGAAACTGTTGAGTTGTTGCCCCAAGGAATGATGGAGATACTGAGAAAATCCCCTTCCCTTTCAGCAGTGTAAGCCAAACTGTGCCCTTTTCCACATCTAAATGTCCCAGGTTACTCTGGCTAAGCCTCCCTCCTTTGGGATTGAGTGGGAGGGTATGTCCCAGAGCATGGATGCCAAGAAACATCACTGCCCCAGAATGTTAGAAGGATAGAATGTTATCATGAGCCCTTGGCTGCCCATGTGCCCAGTTACTCCATGTTTGACACATGCCAAATTAGCCCTGGCCAGCCCAGAGCACTGATGGCCTTGGCTTGCTGCTGTCAGCAGCTCTGTAAATCCTCTGGAACAGGATCCAGAAATGTTACACAAACTGGAAGTGATCTGTTCTAGGGAGTTTCTCACTGAAGAGCAGAAAGTGTAGTGGGGGACGGTGGCAGAATGCCTGAACTCAGGGCTGCAGCTGCCCTCTCCTAGGGAGGACACAGCTTTGGAGCAATTAGTCCTGGAAGGCTCTGGCCAAAGCCACGGTCAGGGACTTGGTCATGGCTTTGGAGAGGTCACTTGGAGAATGATGGCATTTTCCGAGAGGAGAGCTGCTGTTTTGAGAGGGATCCTCTCCAGCTCTGGCTGCCCTTGGTTAGGGAGTGGCTCCATTTACACACTCCTGGCTTGGGGCACGGCTCATCTGGCAGAACTGGTTCTGCTGTGGAAACCTCAGGCTCCAAGTTGGGCTTCGAGTTGAGGGCTCAGCTGGGGCTGTGGTCCCCTGGGTGAATCTGATGTGGCTGTGGCACAGCCCCTGCTCTGCAGAGCTGGGCTGGTGCAGGGGGCACCTGGTACAGGAGTTGTGCTCAGAGGGGAGGAGGTTGAGAGCAGCTGTCCTTAAAGCTTTGGAGACATAACAAAGTTGTCCTTTTTGGGAAAATTACTGTTTTGGATGACTCTTAGCCCTCAGAAGTGTCTTGCAGAGCACTGTTGGCCTTGCTCTCAGTGTGCTCTTGTTGGGGAGGGGCTTCTGAGGTGGGTCAGGAACATGTCTGGGCTCTCCTTGCTATGTAGGGCTTTGTGTCTGGAGGATTCTCCACCTAGAGATTTCAATCTTCCCTTGGCTCCCCCGATGCTGAGTAAGAAGAGCTTTGCTTGTAGGTACCCCATTATTAACCTCCACATGCAGGGACAGGGCTCAGCTGGGTCACAGCTGCTGCCAGTTCCAATTTTGGGGCTCTGTCTGTCCATTCTGGTCATTCTCCAGGTGCAGTTTGTGCCTTTGTGACATGGAGAATTCTGTGTTCAGTTTTTGTGCTGCAGATCTCCTGTTTTGGCATCTGTTGGATGTCTTGTCTGCAGGTTTGCCAACAGCCTGCAAGAGCAAGGGGAGGGCTGGATGCTTTCCATGCTTTCTGAGGTGATCCATGGGGTGATTTCCATTGCTGTGAGAGGGATTGCAGTGGGACCTGTGCTCCACCGGCTCTGTCTGTGATACAAAACTCTGTAATGCCTATGGACTGGCTCCAGAGTGATGCTTTTCAGTCAGCCTCTGCTGTGGATCTGGTCTCCCTGGATGGTGTGAGAGGAAAAATGGGTCACTGAGTGTTCTCAGGTGGCCAATGGTGTGCAGGGAGCAAAATTCTGAGTGTGCAAAAACTGTCAAACTGTGTGCTGGGCAGTCCCTCTGCACTTGGTTACAAAGTTATTTCCACAACTCTTCTTGATTATGTGATTGCTGCCATTTATTGAACTGGCTTTGGCTGCATGAGACAGGGAAGAGCTGTCTCTGATAACTGATACCCCTCAGAGTCCTCTCTCTTACAGCAGCAACTCTGGCCAAAGCCCTTTCTTCCAACTGCCTGCTGAGCAGTGTAACACTGAACTGTTTGTCAGGAAAAGCCATTCTGTAATTCCCTTATAAACTAAATCATAACACAGGGCTTTATTCACCCCATGCTGTTGGTCCTGGTGATGAAATCTGAGTTCTGCACTGTTTGCCAGATCAGGAGGTTGAACACTATTTAAAACTCCTCATGCAGTTTATTCTCCTCCACCAGCTCTGTTGTCATGATCCTTCCTCAATGAGCAGAGAGGGACCTTCTCATGTCTGTTCCATTTCTTCCATAAAAATTTATTCACAGAAAGGGTTGTAAAACATTGGAAGGGGCTGCCAATGGTGGTGTAGTCCCCATCACTAGAGGTGCCCAAGGAACACCTGGATGTGGCACTGAGTGCTCTGGGCTGGGTGACAAGGTGAGAATTGGCCACAGGTGGACCAAATGGTCCCAGAGGTCTTTTCCAACCTCAGTGATTCTGGGATTCCAGACATACTTCTCTTCACTCAGAGACTTGAGCCTTGGTAATCATTATGTCATATCTGGATAAACATTTCCAAGCTCAGCATCTCTGGCCTGGGCTCAGACGTTCAGGGTGTTCCAGTGGCTCCTGCCCAAAGGCTGCTCTCAATGAGCAGCATTCACATTTTGCCAAAATGCAGCTCTCTGGAGTCTGGTAGAGCTGGAGGAATTTTCTTGGTGTCGAGGACTCCCTGTTCTCCACAGAGCCCTTCTCCTTCCTGATCTCTTGTGACATCCCCCAGAGCTGCATATTTCATTCTAGAAGCTGCTGCAGCACCGGTGATTTCAACAGCTGGTGGAGACCACCCACATCTGCCCATTTTTAACTATTTCCTCTGCTGGGTGGCACTTGCAGCATGCTCCGGGTGACAGGGTAGTACTCTAGGCAAGCAGCTTTTGGCTAAATTACGTGTTGTAATGTTATTGATGTTATTGATACTATTTATGCAGACTCAGGATAAAAGTTTCTACATCCTGCTTGGTCATCAGGGAGCAATGCTAAGAAGCAGTAACAAACAATGGGATGTTTAATTCTCCTGGGAAATTTGGAGTCTTTGTGCCCCTCCAACTGGTACAAGAAATCTGTGTCCACCAAGGACTGACATTGTATTAGTTCTGCTTAGAGCTGTTGTACTTTGTGCTTCAGGGGCCTCATGGCACAGACAGGGCAAGGTGGTGGCCCTGGTATCTGTGGCCCTGCAGTGGTCTGAGCTGGTCACACCACTTCAGGAGATGCCTCTCTCTGAGCTGAGCTGCCCAGTGCCAATGGGGCTGAATTCGGAGACAGGTCCCTGAGTTACCTCCTAACAAAGCCAACACCTCTTGTTGTTCTCAGGGAACCCCAGATGTCTGAGCTGGAGACATGGCTGAGAGCCCAGACTCATCCCACCCCTGGAGAAGGGGGTTTTCTCCTTTGGGAGCATGGAATGGGGAGCTGGGTGTCTGCAGACAGTCCCTGGCTGAGGGTTTGCTGATCTGGATCAGGAGCCTTTAATGGCCACCTGCAAACCCACACTTACCTTTGGCCCCATTGGGAGATGTGGATGCTCTTCCCTTTGGAGTTCTCTGAGTGTGGAGAAGGAGACTGAAACACCTCATTAGAGACCATGTGAGTGTCTCTCCAGGCACCTGGGAATCCGTAACATCTCGGAGTTGCTCTGCCAGAGGTCTTGGATGTCTCAGCTGGCTGCTGTGCAGGTGGCAGTATGGACTGGGGCAACCCTTTGGGATTTCTTAGTGCCACATTTGCCTCTGGTGACACGGACCTGGCCCCAGCTGAGCTGCTGCAGTCCCTGTGCTGTGCCTGAAGCTCAGGGACAGTGTGTCCCCAACAACCATTCCCTTCTGAGCTCAGCTTCTCTGGCAGTACTGCAAACAGAGAAAAGGACAGGAGTTGTTGAAATAGTCAGGAAAGGTGCTGAGGGTGTTTTCTGATCTATCTCTTTGTCTTTTGGGATAATTAGAGCTGATCAATATCAAAACATTAATTTTTCAGGGCTAAGCCATGCAGTGAAAGCAGAACCAAGCACGATGTAAGGCACCTTCATTTTGGTTTGGTTTTATTTGGGATAGAATACTGGGATGTGCTGAACACTGTTTTGAGAGTCTCTACTCTGATTTTATTAATGAACAATGAAATTTGTTAATTCCTCCTCTCTTGGGACCTGTGGCCCTAACAAGCAGGACAGAAACTTAGATGGGAATTAACACAAAACTATCTGCTCATGAAATGTGAAGGAAATTGCTTTTCTCTGATCCTGATCCTCTTCAGTATTTGTTTGCCTTCCATTCCAGAATCTGATCTTTTTTGTCTCCACTGAATAATTTCTAGTTGACGTCTCTTCCTAGTCTGCTTCTTTCTCGTGGAAGAACAACCTTTGGAGCTCTTCCTACCAGTCACTTTGGGCAAACCACTTTGCCCAGGCTGGAGATGGCTCAGTCCAAGAGTTTGTCTTGAAGTAGGTTGTTGTTCCCACAGTGTGAATCTGGTTGGGAATATCTCTGATTGGCTGAGCAACAATCTCCCCTTTGCTGGACTTTGCCAGGGTGATTTTATTCTCAGGTAGGAGAAATCCCTGCTGCTTCCTGGGCAGTGTGACTGAGCCTGACTGCTGACCTGCTGTGAATTTCTGCTGAGGAGACAGCAGGGAAAAGGGAGTCTTCCCCATCTTCTCCCACAGAACTGCACCTGCATCCTCAGGTTTTCCCAGCTGGAGGAGGGTTTGTCCCTCTGTGGAGTGGGTGTGAAGAAAATTGCCTTCCTTGAGCAGCTGGACCAAGTGGACATCCTTTTGTCTCAGAAAAAGTGCCTTTGATTCAATAATTATAAAGCAAAATAGGTCACTATGATTACATGGCCACTGACCTGGTATTTTTACCAATCTGCCTCTCTTCCCATACCTCCAGTCCAGGTCCCAGTTCCCAAAGGAGAAGCCCCTCCCTGGTGCAGAATTCATCAGTTCTCAGCTCAATCATCTCAGGAGCATGAAAAAAAACCTGAGAAAAAATCACATCCTGGATCCAGCCCAAAGGTTTCTGGGGCTCCATACATTCTAGTTTACTTAGTCTTTCCAGCCTCCTTGTTGCAAGTTTAATGGAAGTTCCTTGGTGCCAGGTTTTGATAGAGGTTCAAACTGATGAAAAGTCTTATGAGGAAGTGATGTTTTATTGCAGTGTAGAAATAAAAGTGGAATGAAGTTTACCCAGCCTTGGACATGGAATGCTTAAGGTCCAACCCCAGACTGTTGTCTTTCATTCCTGCATACCAAGAGAGGCAGAAGTGTCTCCAGAGGGCAGGGCTTCCTTTCCTAGGAAAAATGTCCAAGACACAAAGGCAAGATGGTTTTTGCAAGCACTGATTTCTTTCCACTGATTCCACAGGTGCTTGAATGAGTGATGCAGGCAGAGTGTAACTTTATGCCAGTGAGGGCAGTGGAGACCAGAGTCCTTCATACTGCCTTTTGTGTGAAATTCCCAGTGGAATTGTGCATATTATTCCCTGCTCTGTGCTGTGTGGAGGGGAGCCCTTAGATTCATAAGGATAAATGTTTTATCTCACTGTAGGTGCTGCTGGTGGTGACCACATGTCCTTTCCAGACCTTTATTCTGTACATTTCTTTGGCACATTCAAAGCAGCTCTCTCCATCCCATGCCTGGAAGTGCTACTGTCTTGTGGTGAAATTTAACACGTCAAATGTAATGGGTTCATTTAAAGAACTTATTAAAAATCACTGTTCTGTTGGTCTATGGCATTGTCTGAAGATGAGCAGCCCCTCTACAGAGTCACTCCTGGTATGACATGTAGCAAAAATGTATATAAATAAATGTGGTTCAATCAGGGGCTGATTTCCTGACCTCCAGGTAAAACTCCCCATCAGTCCAAGGGAGCATCATCAGCCAGGCACAGCCACGACCTCACTGGCCTGGGAAAGCCCTCACACTTCTGGATTCCATCCACTGCTAATGTCATTTGTATCCTTTCACTGCTGACAGTAAAACCAAACAGGAGTTTGGTTTTGACTCTCCTCAGTCATGGATTTTGCAAATTAATGCAGCCACCACTGCCATGACCTGAGATCCCTGTGTAGCCTCTGCAGGATTCAGCTGAATGGGTGCTGAGAGGAGACAGGAACCTTCAATTACATTAATTTCTATAGCTGGAAGCACAAACAAGCTTTGCAGTTCAGACCCCCCTGAAAGTTTGGACCCTTTTCTCATTTTATGTGGTTAGAACATCACAGATGGTACTGAATAAGAACAGGCCAAAAAGAGCAGGACTTTCACGTTTCTAAACAAGTGGGAGAACTTCCAGATGTTTGTATTTCTCTCAAGGTTCCAGTCCTGCCACAAGCCAGAGGAAATCATATCCTTCCTTTTGAGTTGCAGGCACATTCTTTACCTCTAACAGGGACAATGACAGTGGTCAGCTTTTATAAGAGCTTGGAGACAGCCAGTGTGAACATCCCCTGGGAGCAGGATGTCTCAGAGCTATTATTAGCATTTCACAAACTGCCTATTTGTCCATCCCATCACTCCACACAGGACTTTTCCTAAGGGATCTGCTTGGGCTTCCCAAGACCATCAACTGCACTCACATTTCTGCTTCCACCACCTCTCACATCAAAGAATCCCATGCTGTGGGAGAACCACCTGCCTGTGTTACCTTGTCTTCATGACCTGGTGGATGGTTTCATTCCTATCCACTCACTCCTTTATTTGGGGAACAGTGAACTGAGTCTCTGTTCATTAAGCTTCCACTTTGGGCATGATCAGACATTCACCACCTCAACCCAGCTTTCATTTTCTGTCTCCTTTGCTTGTGGATAGACTGGATCTGGAATTTATTACCCTTAGTGCTCTTCACTGTGTCTTTTCCATCTTTTACCATCTCTTTTTTTGAGACAGAGAAATCCACTAGAGGTGCACTGAGTGGTCTGTGTCGCAATGTGATAATATTTTATCATTGATTCCTTCCCAATAACTCCCAGTGCTGACATAGCTGTCTTGGCTGAGCACTCACCCAGTTCTGTATTTCTCTTTGACACAGGATCTGTGGTGACGAGATTGATGCTGGCACCATGACCATCCAGAAGGCCATCCAGCTCCTGTGCTCATCTGATGACAAGTACCAGGCCATGGGGGCTTACTACCTGCAGCACACCTGCTTCCAGGATGAGTCTGCCAAGCAGGAGGTGAGCAGAGTCCTCCAGTGCCACAGCGGGGCTGATGGCGCAAGAGAGGGCTGGGACTGGTTTTCCTTAGTGCCAAGGATCCATAGGTTCCATAAGTTTTCATGAGGGTGCTTTATACCTCTTTAGTCAGGCTCAGGTATTAATTAAGTACATATTTCAGCTATTGATGGCCACTTTCTCACAGCAGCAGTTGGTCAGGATTTAACATCTAGGATAGTTTCTGGGTAGCAGGGAGACTGTTCCTGTTGCCACCACGAGCTGCTGTGGCACAGGGTGATGGGATTTGACAGTGTGGAAGCTGCCATCCAATGTCCTCTCCTGAGGGCGACTGCACCCAGTTCCACATCAAGCTTGAACCCAGTTCCAAATCAGTCTTTCACTATCTTGGAGCTGCAGAGTCAGAGCCAGACAAAGCTGCTTTAAATCCCACTGTGAACTTTACTGGGCATTGGTCAGTGACCCTGCAGCCCTTTGCCAGCCTTTTTCACGGCCCTTTTCCAGACTATTTCAGCCACCTGAACCAATGGGCTTATTAGTGGTCATGTACAACGATAATTTTGCACATCCATAATGCTGGCTGCCCCATCCTGGAAGTGTCCAAGGCAGATTGGGGAGTGCTTGGAGCACCGTGGGAGAGTGGAAGGTGTCCCTATGGCAGGGGGTGGGACAGGATGAGGTCTTTCCCACACAAACTCCTCCGTGATTCTGTGATATCTGACCACAGGGAAGCCCTTCTTATAGCACAGGTTATTTTTCTGTTGCTCTTACTCCTCAATTCCTTTGCCAACATGCAGCAAAAGAGGCTGACTGAAGGGTGGATTTGCTGTGGCAAGGATGTCACCAAAGTTTATCCCACCCTGGATTTACTGACTTGCCAACCCTTTAGAAGTGGCTTTCCCTGTCCTGGCACAAGAGTGGAGCTGGAAGCGCTGGCCCGGTGTGGGGCTGTGCCCCTGTGCCCTGGCTGTGCCTGTATGAGTGCAGGTGCCCAGCCCACGTTCAGGTGGCCAATTGTGGGGTGGCCACACCTTTGTTACCGTTGCAAACCCTCTCTGAGCACTAGGCCGTCCCATCCTTCCCAGGAAGATGTGCCAGAGCAGGTCGGTGACTCATCCCAGCACACGCTTGTTTTCCTTCCCTCCCAAAAGGTGCTCGTTCATTGTCCATTGTCAGCAGCCCTCAGCCAAGGGGCTGTTTGTGGCGGGACAGGCTCTGGGAGGGATCACGGCCCCTGCAGAGCACATCCCACGGTGGGAACACTCAGCACTGGGAGAGCCCAGCTGCCTTCAAGGCCCCGTGTGCTGTGTGTGGTGTCCTGCAGAGCTGGGCTCCCTCCGCTGCCTGCGACTGACCTCCAGGGTGGTGACACTGCCCATGACCATCCCTCTGAGCTCAGCCTGTGATCTCAGGAAGCAGATAAATGACCACAGCATGTTAATAGATGCCTATAAATGGCCTGCACATAAGCAAGGCAGCATTTCCACTAGGTGCAGACTGTGGAGGTGGGTGAAAGTTTGCAGGAACACATTTCCATCAGCAAAGGACTCTGTCCATGGCCATTACTCACAGACAGCCACTCCTGCAGTTTAAGCTTTTGTCCAGGAGCTCTGTGCTCATGACCCACAGCCTGAACCAGATTTGTCATCTCTGGCCCTCGTTCCCTGGCCGCTCTGCTTCTTCAGCTCCCCCAGTGTGGGCAGTCTGACCGCTGGCACTGCTGGAGCAGTTCTGGGTGTCCTGTGCTCTGTGCTGATGGCCTGTGTCTGTTCTGGTGCTGTGCTCATGTCCCATGTCTGTCCTGTGTCTCTCCCAGTGCTCTGTGCTCATGTCCTGTGTCTATCCCATGTCTCTCTGAGTGCTCCATGCTCATGTCCTGTCGTGCTCATGTCCCATGTCTGTCCCGTGTCTCTCCGAGTGCTCTGTGCTCATGTCCTGTGTCTGTCCCATGTCTCTCTGAGTGCTCCATGCTCATGTCCCATGTCTGTCCCATGTCTCTCTGAGTGCTCCATGCTCATGTCCTGTGTCTATCCCGTGTCTCTCCTGGTGCTCCATGCTCATGTCCCGTGTCTGTCCCGTGTCTCTCCTGTCCAGGTCTATCGGCTGGGGGGCATTGCCAAGCTTGTGGAGCTGCTCCGCAGCCAGAACCAGAACGTGCAGCGGGCGGCAGCCGGAGCCCTTCGGAACCTGGTGTTCAAGAACCCCACCAACAAGATCGAAACCCGGCGGCAGAACGGGATCAGGGAGTGTGTGAGCCTCCTCCGCAGGACAGGGAACACTGAAATTCAGAAACAGCTCACAGGTACCCCGAGTCTCCTCAGCCATGAGGATCCCCTTGCCTGGGGTCTGCAGCCCTGGGGCTACCCTAGCACAGAGGGGGAGTCTTCTGCTCCTCTTGCACCAAAGGGTGACCTAAATCAGAAAGCAGAGGAGGTCCTGGCCCTTCCATGTTCCATAAGGATTCCTCACTTCCTCAGTGCCTGTTGGGGAAGCACCTGCCCCAGGTCCCCTCCCAGTTACGGTCACTCTGCCATTCCCACGCCTCCCTGCACCCTGGCCCCTGTGCTGTTCCCAGGGATGGCCAAGGGAGCTGTCAACCCTGGTAGAGTTGGCTGGGTTCTCTCCTTGATGCCTCACCTTTGCCTGAGGAGCTGATGGGAGTTTTTTGGTGCAGGTCACCCTCAGCTGTGTCCCAGGTTTTATGTGCAAGCCTTTCCAAGATCCCTGGAGAGATGCTGTTCCCTGAAACCTAATAGCAATAAACAGCAATTTTGGGAGGAGGAGAGATGCTTAAATGCCCACCTCCACATGGATCTATCCTGCCTGTCTCCCATAGAGGTAGACAGGGACCAATATTTCAGGCAGCCTCTACATCCTCAGCTCAGAGTGGTGAAGGGAAGAAGGATTTTGGTGCTGAAATCACCCTGAGCTAAACAAAGTTCCTAATGCACATGACTTTGTGCTTGAGCTTGTGTCCCACATCCTTCCTAGGACTGCTCTGGAACCTCTCCTCCACTGATGAACTAAAAGAAGAGTTGATACAGGAGGCTCTGCCTGTGCTGACAGACTGTGTTATCATCCCTTTCTCGGGCTGGTCTGATGGCAGCTGCAACAGGACACGAGAAATTATCGACCCAGAAGTGTTCTTCAATGCCACAGGGTGTTTGAGGTGAGTCACCAGGCAGGGACTGACTGTAGCTTGTGTCTGTGGGCAAAAGCTGAAGCCATCTAAATCCTCTTACAATGAGCTGAATTCATGCTCATTACAATTGCGTTAATGAAAAATTCTCCTTGAGAAAGTTTTCTTGACTAAGAGAAGGTGCAGAAAAAATTGCATATAAAATACTTTTCTAGTAGCTTTTTATTTTAACAATTTTCTTCTTACTAAGTGTCTTCTCAAAAAAAATTGTAAGTTGTTTTGTGAAACCCATGAATGTAGCTCAGACCAGGAAATTGGACAGGTTTTGCCTTTAGAGTTTTGAGGCTTCCAGAGAAAACAAACTGATTTAGCGTTTAGGTGACAAAAAGACAGAATTCTCTATGTGGGGAAAATAAGCATTTTCCCACTTCTTTTGATAACTGTTTTAGTACAGAACAGCCCCATTGTCCTGGACTTTTCCTGGCTCATTTCATCTGGAGACTCAGCTATGGAACAGGAGGTGCAGACTGAGCCCAGAGTAGTTTATTTTGTTCACGGGAAACCAGAGTCCTTTTGTAGAGGATCTTCGCCCTGACTTGCTGTTTCTCCTACCTTCCTCCTCCACTTGGATATGAGCTCCTTGTCTCAATGGGAACAAGTGGGGCAAAAAACCTGCCCTGTATAATGAGGTGCTTTCATCAAGGGAAGCTCTCCCCGAGGGAGGCAGCGCCGGCCGCGCCCTTCCCAGACATGCAGCTCACAGGAGCTGGAGCTGCTTATGAAACGAGAGGCTGATCATGGCAGGGCCTTTGGAGACCTGATACCATCAACTTCTGTGGCTGGGAACCATGTCTGGGAGATAGGGAGTGCTGCTCCCTCCTTGCCTGTCCTGGAAGGCAGCTCCCCATGCAGCTGCGGCTCGGGATGTGTGGGGTATGGTGGGTATGAGCTGCTCTGCTTTAAGGCCATCCCAGCCTACCAGCACCATAAAATATCCCATTAAAATGAGGGAAAGACAATGGCAACAGCTTGTAAAAACCCTGTGGAGTTTAACTGGAGGTAGGCTCTACCTCCTGAAATTGATCCCAGCCTGTGGTAGCAGTGCCCAATATCTCAAGGAAGACTGGCAGCTGCAGGTCAGCAAGGGAGCTCCAGAGGCCTGAGGGAGCAGGACTGGGGAGCAGGGAGAGTGAGGGAAGTTGGGAGTTGGATCCAGAGCCCCTGCTCCAAGGGCTGAGCCAGGACTACTCTGAGTCACTGCCCTGCCACATCAGAACACAGGGATGAGAACAACCCTGGGTTTGCCCCAGGCCCGAGCCATTGCTGCTCAAGCATTTCTGGATTGCAGATGAATCCATGTTAATGAGGAGGCTGCAAATCACAGTGAACATCAGATCCAGTTCTGGAATGCCTGCAGTGAATATCTCACAACCACTGCCAACCTCTCTTTGTTTTTCATTTGCAAGCTATAAGGCAATAAAATAGGGGGGAAAAAAAAAACATAGCAAAACAACAAAACCCATATCCTGTTACTGGAAAAACTCCCTTCTCCTGACAGCTGCCAGTGTCCAGGAACCCATTTTGACCATTGCTGCTCTCCAGCATTTCCAGCCCATTTCCCACACAGACATTGCTGCTGACCCTGGGTAGGTCTGTGCTTACAACCCTGTTCACCTTCCTGATGATCACAACAAGCCCAGATAGTCTTTAGCCAGTCTTCCCTTTGGAAACTCCACTCAGGAGATAGTGTCTGTGTAGTGGCACATACAGAGCCTCTGAGGCAACCTTCTTCTGGTGACTGTCCCTAGGAGGGTGTCTTCTATGCAGAGCTCCTTGAAGGACATGTTCCAGGTGAAACGAGTCCTAAAGAGCAACAAGAGAGCTGTGCACTGGTGCAGTCCTACCAAAGACCTCCAGAATAGGAGCAGTTCTTCAGCCTTGCTGAACCTGCCAAAAAATCCCGAATTCAGTGACAACCATAGCCAGAACAGAGCCCAACTCACCCTCTCTCCTCTTTGTCCCCTGCCGTGCTCCTCGATGGCTCCCTCAGGAACCTGAGCTCTGCAGACATGGGGCGCCAGACCATGAGGAACTACCCTGGCCTGATCGACTCTGTCATGACTTACACCCAGAACTGCGTGGCCTCCTGCCGCCCCGATGACAAGGTACCAGCTGCTGCCCTGGGCTGCCCAGCCCCACAGTTAACAATTGCAACCCTGGGAATGCCTCAAAATCCCTTTCCAATAAACACAAGAGGTGGCTGGACTCTCTGGCTGCTCTTGTCCTTCCAAGCCCCAGTGGGATCTGTTGGAGGATTGTAAGTCCTTGGGCCTCTGGGCCTGAAGTAGAGCTGGGCTTTAAAAGTTTCTTTTAACAAACACAGAGGAACAGTAAAATACTTTGGCTCCTGAGTCCCCAGAATACTTCCCTTCCCCTTCCCCTTCCCCTTCCAGCATCCTAATCTCCATCTCTTGCTCTTTACCTCCCACATCTTGCCATCCAGCAGGACTCAAGGGTATAATCCCCAGCTTGGCACCATGTTTAGCAGGAAGCCAGGAGTTGGCATCTCTCTTCAGTCCCCTGACTGTGACTGATGGCTGTGTGTGAACAGCACTTGCCTTGGACAAGTGTTTGTAGACAGCTTTCGGATGTAACCTCAAAGTTACCAAAGTTATTTTGAATTCTCTCTGGATTGAGCAAACCCTCTTTTGGGGATGGCTTTTGCAGGAAGCCCCTTTCCAGCAGCACACAAAACACAGCTCTTTGGAAGTGTAACCACAGGTTCTGGTGCTGGTTATGGGTATCCAGCCAAAATTCTCCCTTGCTCTTCCCAGTGGGTACTCTGGCATCCAGGGAAAGGAGGCTTAAAGCCTGTTCTTGGTAGAAAGTGTTGCCTGATCTGCAGCTGTGACTCAGAGAGAGTCCTTGGAAGTTACCCCTGGTGAGAGGGGCACTTCAAGATTCAGAATTTCATGTTTTGATTCAACCATTCTCACACTCTCTTTTCCTGTTTGCCAACTTGTTTGTGGCAGGTGAGACCTCCCAAGGTTTTCTGGGTCAGCAGCTCACTGAGATCCTTCCTTCACATCTATTCCAGCTCCTTCCCTCCCATCCCTTGCTCCCTGAACAAGGCTAAAGAGCATCTGTGGTGCTAAAAAGCTGATTATGACCCAGTCTATGTCCTCTCTGGTGCTGCTCCATAGTTTTCTGCCTAATGTGATGTTTGCATTTGTCTTCTGGGGGTGATGCAGTCTGTGGAGAACTGCATCTGCATCCTGCACAACCTCTCCTACCGCCTGGATGCTGAAGTTCCCAACAAATACACCCAGCTCAACCACATGGCCCGGAGTGTTTACATGGACAAAACTCTCACAGGCTGCTTCAACAGCAGGAGTGGGAAAATGGAGGTAGGATGTGGCGCAGAGGGATTGGGAATGTGATGTTCAGCCCCAGGCAGGGGCTGCAGAGGAAGAGCAGGATCTGAACTCCGTTTCTCGTGTCTTTGCAGAATGATGAGTACGGGGTTCCCCTTCCCGAGGAGGATTTCAAACCCAAAGGCCCCAGCTGGCTCTACCACTCAGATGCCATCCGTACCTACCTGTCCCTGATGGATCAGAGCAAGAAGGATGCCACCCTGGAAGCTTGTGCTGGAGCTCTGCAGAACCTCACTGCGAGCCGAGGGCTGGTAAGAGCTTCCCTCCCCTCCACATGTGTGCACCCAAATGTGTCAGCACTCCCATGGAATCAGAGAGTTAGTAAGGTTGGGAAGACCTCTAAGTGATCATCATCACTTCTCAGCCATGAAAGAGGAAAATGTCCTCCTTAAACCTCGGGGCACCACAGCCAGTTTCTCCATAGTGTTTGATCCAGTGGGACACTAACTCCAAACTCAGGGTCTCAAGAGGAGCTACAGCCAGCATCCCAAGGATCTATCCCAGGCCCATACCCTGGGTTTCCAAGTTTCCCCAGCCTGTTGGTCGCACTGCCAGCAGCTGCTGGTATTGGCACCCTCCCCCAGGGCAGCAGTGAAGGTGAGCCCAGATGTGCACCCGTAGCCAGATGTGATGAGAGCTGGGAGAAGGGCTGAGCCACCGCCCGTGCGTGTGCTCCAAGGGGAGGTGGCTCTAATGACAGGGTGGGTTGTGCTGTGGATTGTGGCTTGTCCACACCTCAGAGCTACCTGTAAAATAGCTGTGACAGATGTCCTGACCTGTGGGCACGGCAGCGTGGCGGTGCCAGGGGCTGGGTGATGCTGTGGCACCGTGAGGGACGCGTCACAACCGCGACTCCGCGGGCCCACGTCACTGCCCTGGGCACGTCCTCGCAGGCTGCCTCCCCTGGGACAGCCCTCGACTTGTCTGTTTGTGCCCAACTCGTCAATCCCAATTTAAATAAGATGGATGGGGAGATAAAGAGATAATGATTCCATAGGTAGGAGAGGCGTGTCACGTGTGGGGAGTGTCCCACCCAGAGACACGGGTGACTCACTTGGAGCCTTCCCTGCTGGGATGGCATTAACCTGCCAGCTCTGATCTCCTTTTGTCACAATGATATCCATGCTAAATAATTGGGAACCTTGACTTTTGGCAATTTAACTAACCAGTGCCATGAACCAGAAGGTGGAGAGAGGCTGTCACGTATGGGTAGAGCTGGTCAGGGAAATGGGGCTGGAGTTCTGTGCTCCAGGGAAAAAAAATTCAGCAATCAACAACATTGCACAAGGGACAAACAACCAAACCCAGCTCTGACAGTGCTGGAGCAATTTAATTCAGCCTCCTGGCATGGAATGTGTCTGGATGTGCAGAATTGGCTCCTCCCCTGTAGGGTCTCATTCCAGATCAGAGCTGGAGCTGGAGTTGCTGAATTTGCTGTACTTTGATGGAAAGTGAATCTGGGGATGAGCTTATGGAGCTTGCTGTGATCCTTTAGCTCATAGAGGATAGCTCTGAATATCCTTCAACTGCACTTTACACACCCCAGTCCTGCTGGTGTGAATGTGGAACAGGGCACATGTTTTCCAGACCCTTCACTCCAACAGTCCATCTCACTGTTGATGGACATGTGTCTCCAGCAGCCTTTCTGGTGGGGCAGCTGAGCACTTTAAGCTCTGTTAATAAGGGCAGTTTACTCAGGGGATATGCTTGAGCTCATCTGCTCTGGCTGCATCCTGGGACCTTCTACGTTTACAAGCACAAGATCCCATTTAAGATGAGTATTTTTGGTCCTCAGACTGTTTTTTAAAGGCATCCATTATCTGTTCCTGCTCCCCAACAGCCCATTGTGGCATGGCAGGGAGCTGTGAAGGGCCAGGGCAGAGAGCTGCCAGGGGGTTGTGGAGGGTGAGGGCAACATGGACATGAAAGCAAAGCTTCTTCAGCTTTTGGAATGCCTGTTGAGTGATCAACTGCTCCACTGCAGCTCCAGAGAACAGAACCAGCTGCATCACAGCACATGAGAGGCTGACTTTTTAAATGTCACAGAATAATGGAATCATTAAGCTTAAAAAATCCCTCTAATATCACTAAGTTCAGCACCCATGTTCACCACTAACCCATGTCCCCAAGTGCCCCATCCAAGTACTTCTTGAACATTCCCAGGGATGGTGACTCCACCACTGCCCTGGACAGCTGTGCCACTGTTTGGCGACTGCTTTGGTGAAGAATTTTCCCCAGTATCCAATCTAAACCTCCCCTGGGGTAGCTTGAGATAATTTCCCCTTGTCCTGTCCCTTGTTCTGTGGGAGCAGAGCCCAACCCCCTGCTGGCTGCACCCTCCTGTCAGGGAGTTGAGGAGAGCCAGAAGGTTCTCCCAGAGCCTCTATGCTCTCTAGGCTGCCATAACTGTGGGGAAGAGAGGTAAAACTGACAAAGTGGGATCCCTGCTGGCTGCACCCTCCTGTCAGGGAATTGAGGAGAGCCAGAAAGTTCTCCCAGAGCCTCCTTTTCTCTAGGCTGCTATAGCTGTGGGGAAGAGAGGTAAAACTGACAAAGTGGGATTATGGCAGCAGGAGAAAGGATTGTACAGAGCTCATTTTATGGTACAGTCACGTTCCTCCAGGCCTGACCATCATCCCCGCTGTTTCCCCTGGCACTGTAAGTCATGGACACCTCTGTTGTCCCTCAGATGTCCAATGCCATGAGCCAGTTGATCGGGCTGAAGGAGAAGGGGCTGCCCCGCATCGCTCGGCTGCTCCAGTCCAACAGCTCCGATGTCGTCCGCTCCGGGGCCTCTCTGCTGAGCAACATGTCCAGGCATCCTGTGCTCCACAAAACCATGGGTAAGTCCCTCCCCCATGCTGGATCCCAGCTTTCAGCTCTGGGGGATCTGCCCAGCTCACTTTGTAAGCCCCATAAGGAGACCTATCCATGCTCCAGAACTGGGCAGAGCAGTGTCATTTCCTCTGGCCCCAAGGACAGTCACCAGTGCTGTGTGTCACTGTGCTTTGTGGACAGTGACAAACCTGCAGGACCATGAGGGTGATAGTGTTTTTAGAACTGAACTGGACCTCTATGTCTCAGCAACACTGCCCTTCCAAAGGCCTGCAGCCCTTGTTTTGTCTTGGGAAAATCCACTGATGATGATGATGCCATTGCTGTCCACACTTCCAGTGTCTCCCTACAGAGATAACTGTGCTTGCTGTTAACACAAATAGCATCATTCACTTGTGTCAGATTGTTTTTAATTGTTGATTGGAACATTCCTCCACCTCTTTAGCTCACCAGGTGCTCCCAGATGTGTCCCGTCTCCTGTCGTTCCAGTCTGGAAACTCCAGCAGCTATGGGGAGATCATGACATCAGCTTGTTACACTCTGAGGAACCTCATCATGTCCAACCCCCACCTGGGAAAATCTTACCTGTCCAGCAACTTGCTAAATAATGTAGTGAGCCTGTGCCGGAATGGGTGAGTGTGGGGCAAAAGGCAGGGGCAGGGACAGAGCCAGACTGACCCCAGAGCCTTCCTGGCACCCTTTGGAGCCAGACTAGAGCATTATTCCCTCATAATAAAGGAACTGGGTGTGTTGGTGGGCAGAAATCCTCAGCACTGGTTTCTTGGAAACAGGCAGGAGCCATCCAGGGTAGGATTTGCAAAGGGGCCGCTGGAAACTTTCTGGCTGAATTTTAGGAAATTCTAAAAAAACTGAAGCACCAACATCTTAAAGTCTTTTAAAAATAGTAGTTACAGAGCTTATGAAAAAAAGGAGAAGTGACTTTTTACACAAGCAGATAGTGACAGGACAAGCTGGGATGGTTTCAAACTAAAAGAGAAGACATTTATATTGGATATTAGGAATGAATTCTTCCCCATGACAGTGGGGAGGCCCTGGCACTCCCCACTCTTGGGAGTTGGTTGTCCAGTGAAACTGTGGCTCCTCCATCCCTGGAGGGTTGGAGGAGGCCAGGTTGGATGGGGCTTGGACCAGCCTGGGCTAGTGGAAGGTGTCCCTGCCATGGCTGGGGGTGGGACTGGATGATATTTAAGGTCCCTTCCAACTCAAACCATTCTGGGGTTCTCTGATCTATGGAAAATTCCAGCCCTCACAACAGGGGATGTCAGTAACTTTCTGGCTCCTGGGCTTCCCTCAAACCTTGTCATGAAGGTCAGTCTGAGCTTCAATACTGCAGGTATACAAGGATTGTGCTTAAGTTTTATGTGCAAATCTGTTCATCTTTTACTTGAATCATCTTCCTCAAGATGCAGCTCTGGGGGAACATAGGCAGGAATTATTTTAAGTACCTCCCTGGTCTACTCCTGTATTTTACATCAGATGAGCAATCTCATCATATTTTACCTCTTTCTATTTTAGGACTTGGTTTGAGTTTTGGTGGTAGGAATTCTGCCCTGTTTGTTATCCATATTCCCTGCAGCACAGACCTGTCAAGCCTTGCCAAGTTCTGTGTTCATTTCTGGCCAAACTGGTGCTAAACTGCCATTGTCTTTGACCATGTTCTCTCCTTCCTAGGCTTTCATCTCTCCTGCCATCTGTCTTTGTTTTAAAATGCCTCAGACAAGTAACCCATTGTTTTCTGTTGTGAAAATCCATTTGCATGCCTTCATCATCCTTTGATAAAGTTATTCCAATCCACCTCTTGTTCCATGGCAGAGACGCTCTCTGTCATTACACGGGACCTCCTTGTTTAGTTTGGGCCTGGGCCAAGGAGCATTGCTCTATTTGCTGCTTTTACTTGCTTCCACTCTCCAACGAGCCCAATTACCATGAAACCCAGCCCTCTCCTAAGCCCTCATTGTTTTGAATGGTATTTACTCCTGCTGAAGTCCCGCTGTGGCTCCCTCAGACCAGTGCTCAGTAATTTGCTGCTCCAGCACAGCCTTGCACAACCTGGGCTGGGAACACTTTAATTGCTTTGGCTGTTGGGGATGAGCTTTCTTGGAGGTGAGTCACTGAACTGTGAGGAGTTACCAAACTCTGGAGATGTCTCCAGGCCTGCCTAGATCACAAAGTCCTCCCAAGAAACTCCCCAGTTCTTACAATCTCCAAAACTTGAGTTGTTCCTTTGCCTCCATTATTAATTTTTATCCCCAAAGATTTTTATGCTGTTCACCTCTTAGGGGAAAAAAGAGAACAATTTCCACCCATGACTAATCTTACTTGTCCAAGCTGTATTATTTCAGGCTGTTCCAGTAGAGCAGATGTTGGAGAGACTTTTAACTCTTGCTAGGTCCCAAGGTGTAATTTTCCCAGTGTCACATGTTGCCTGTGAAGATAAACAACAAAAATTTGGGTGGGATTTGTCCAGTCCTACATCAGAAAGAGCCTCCCCCTCCCCAATGGAAATCAATAAATCTTCACCTCTCCTGGGGGCTGGCTGAAGCCCCCAGGTCCCCACTGATGTTCTGAATGTGGTGAGTCCCACATCATCAACCTCCTCCTTCCCAGCACTGCAGGCAGCAGAGAGAGGGGGGACAGGGACTGAGGGGTGCCCCAGTGACCAGGGAGGACCCAGGGACACCCTGCACCCTGTCAGGATTTTGCCTTTTTCTCTGTTAATCTGCCTCAGGTCCCTGTGGACATTCCCTGACCCCCAGGCTGGGGTTGGTGTCTGGGTGCTCCCTCCCTGTCTCCTCTGCCACCCACAGATCCTGCCCTGTGTGTTTCTGAGCTGGGCTCTCACTGCATTACCAGCTGCAAACCAGGAGCTCCACCTGCTCAAATAGCTTCAGAGTCGTAGCTTAGAGAGAGACTCCAGGTTCCAGACCAGTGAGTTAGGCATCTTGCCCTTTCCCATGTTATCCTCCCTTCCCATGTTTCTTTCTCCTCATGTTTCTCATAGCTGGGTTCTGACAGAAAGGCAGAAAGGGTTCAGCAGTTTATCTGATGGATGTGGTTTCTTCTTCTTCCTGGAACGTCCCAATTAAGTAATTGTCTGTGTTTCCTGCAGATGCTCTCCTCTATGACATGGAGTTCATGGTCAAATGGGGTTCCTTCACGCTTCATTATTTTTAATTCAGGTTGCCAAAATATTGAATATTTCCTTTGGTTTCTGGTGGTGTTTCTGAAAATCAAGCCACCGGACCTGATGTATTGGGGTGTTTGGTTTCCTTTTAATTTTTCTTCTCCAGTTGTCTGAAAAACATTTCTCTGCTCATTTTCAAGCAACATTATTTCACTAATTAAATTAAAATTCTCCTCATTAATTCTACTGGCTGCACTCAAAGCTTTTCCCAAAATCTCTCCTTGTGCTTTAGAGCGTCACATTTGCAGTGTATCCCTTTACCATGGATTTATTTATGTTTCTCTTTGTTCCTTCACTTTTCACACTTTTGCTATCACAGTTTTATTTTGCAATTCACTTGCACCACAGCATTTCACCAAAATTAATCTTTTGAGAAACTCAGGTCTTCCCTTGATTATTCCCTGTGCCTGAGAGTTCTTCTTATCCACACATTTCCAATTTCCCATTTCTGCCAAAGATTGCACCTTGATATCGATTTCATAATCTCTTACATCCTGAAGAAATCCTTGTTCTGGGAATTCCTTGGCATTCTCAGTGACACACCTTAAGTTCTTTGTACATTTCTCCTTTGAGGAAGGATTATTTCTCCCCATTATTTGATATGTGTGGACAAAATTCTTGTCTTTTTTGTCCCATTCTGTTTCTCCCCATTCCCTACCATCACCTTTTTATTGTGTTGTTTTTTTGTTGAGTCTGTAGCTTTTTGGATGACTCTTGCCACTGCCACCAGGGGACATCTCCCTCATTGCCTTTCCACAATTTTTCATTAATAATTCTATTTCTAAAAGACAGACGGTACTTAAAATCAACTTTGATTTTCAGGCAATTTGATAATAGCTTTTTGGATGACTCCTGCCACTGCCACCAGGGGACATCTCCTTTCCATTGCCTTTCCACAATTTTTCATTAATAATTCTATTTCTAAAAGACAGACGGTACTTAAAATCAACTTTGATTTTCAGGCAATTTGATATTAAGGAATTTCCCCCCCAAATCAGCTGTCCTTGATATTCTGCTCCATGTTACCCACTACTATATTCACACTGTTTTGTTTGGGATATGCTGCTTTACCTACTGAAGTTGGCATCACAGCTTCACCAGCTCATATTGAGCTTTTTATACCTAAATTATAGCAGTCAATGCTCTAAGGAACAGTCAGTGCCAGTTCTTCAAATGGAGAGTACAGAACAACTTCTGCCTGAATTCATAAATGAGTCAGGTACTGATGCTGGTAATTTTGGCTTGAAAATACAAAACTTCTGAGATGTCCTCTGGAGAAATAGTGGCAAAAAGTACATATTTGGCATTATTAGAAATATTTTTTTCAAAAATAAGAGAAAACTACTCTGGTTTAGGAAGAGAGAAACAACTTGAAACTACAGATCCTTGAAAGAGAGAGTTCAGTTCGTGCTCTGCCTGTCTGATCATAGCTACCCTTGGGTTTGTAGGGATTTAATGGCTTTTCAGCCACAGACAACATTTCAGGCAAAAACTGTTTTAAAACATTGTCATTCTGGTGATAGAGCATAGTGTGTTTATAACTACAGAAAAGATTTGGCAATAAAACCTGTTTTTTCTGTCCCAAAGCATTGCTCAGGAATTTCTGGCTGTCCTCCAGCCCTCCGCACAACACTAGGAGCTGCACAACACCTTTGAAATTTATGACCAAGTTAAACTCAATCATTTCTTTGGTAACAGCTGCTGTGTATGTCAGAGAAATGCCTCAAAATTTACTGGATGTGGTTCCATCCCTGTCCTCCCACACTCCAAGTGTGGAGTTGCTGTCCCAGGTTCCTCATGATCTGTTGGTCCCATTTCTTGTGGGCTTTTGGGGACTATTTTGAGGAATGTTTTGAGGACTGTTTTTGAGGGCATGAGGTTTTGTGGAGCTGTATCAGACAGGGGGGCCCTGAGCTTGGTCCTGTTCCTCTCCATCATCCTGGGTGGGACAGGCTGGGGCTGCTGCCCTGAGCCCAGAGCAGGAGTCTCCCACAGCCAGAAGGAGGCCCAGGAGATCAGGAGCAGCCATGGGAGCCAGCAGGGAGGGGATATCTGGGTATGAAATGTTCCAAAATTATAAAAGGTCCTGCGATGACTCATGGTTTCGAGCTGTTACGTGAGCAGGTATCTGTTCCCTTGTGCTGAGTAAGGGCTCTGGGCTGCTTGCAGATGTTGTTATTGCAAAGGCTCCCATCTCTTGTCCTCTCCAGGCAGCTCCAGGCCCGCTCCTCTGCCCCCTCCCAGGAGATCCACCCACGCTGCCCCTGCAGACTCCAGCAAAGGGCTGGCACTATTTCCCTTCTCTTTCCCTCTCTCAAATTTCAGACTCAGCTCAGATTTATGCTCATTTTCCCACTCTGATCCTTCCCTCTCATTTGCCCTGCTCTGGTGACAGTTGTTGTCACACAACATTGCTGAGAGAGCAGGAGTGTGTTACTGACAGTCTGTTCGTGGCTAGCCAGGCTCCCAGCTGGAGCTGGGTTTGTCCCAGTGGTCAGCATGCCTGGGTTTGTCCCAGTGGTCAGCAATGTCTGTAGGTGCTGCTCTGTGCCTGCCATAATTCTCCTGTTGCTTTCACCTCCCCAGCTCCTGTCCAAAAGCAGCTGAAGCTGCTCGACTTCTCCTGACAGACCTTTGGTCCAACAGGGAGCTCCAGAGTGTGCTCAAGCAGGTAAGGACAACACTCCTGCTTCTGGGAGTCAGGAACAGCCCTGGGTTGTTCTCCAGCTGAAGTGGGGAGCTGGTAAAGGCCCTGATCCAGCAGCAGGTAGGGCAGGGCCCAGGAGGAGCCTGGGGCACTTGGGCACCTGCCCGGGATCTGAGCAGGTGGCAGGGGGTCACTGCTGGGACTCACTTTGGGGACAAAGCAGATGGTGTCATGTCTGTGTCAGACACGTTCCTCCCTGGGGATGGTGCTGGAATGCTCCCCAGCACAGCCCCCTCACTGTAGGCTGGGACATGCTGGGTGTTTCACCCTCATTTAGGGGATTCCCTTCACTGCAGTCCATCAGGTCCCAGCAGGTGCCTGACAAGGTCCCTCCTCTCTTTCCCCCCATTTTTTTCTGTGTCCATAGCCCTGCCCTGTGGTTACATCCCCCTGCAGTCAGAGTAAGCTTTCAAACCAAGAGGAGAGGAGTATTTGGGATTTGTTTTAATCCCTGCAAGAGAAGCTGGGAAAGTGCAGAACCAAATGGGCACAGAGCCAGCTCCAGCTGCCAGCTCCAGCCCTTGGCTCCAGCTGCTCCCAGTTCCCAGCTCCAGCCCTCTCAGGTTCCCTATCTTTGGGATGACCCTGAGCCAGCCCGATGGTCGAAGAAAGAGTCGGAGTTCTTAGTTTGTGGTTCTCAAGGTCGTTTATTGTTGCTTGTCTAAGCTGTTTTCTCTGGCCCACCACAGGCCTGTCTGGCAGGTCATTTCAAGGCACACTACACGCCTCCCAGGCTGGTGCTAGCTTTTATACTAAAAACTACGTATACTATGTTTACAGTTATGTTCCAATACCTATCACCTATGTTAGACAGTGACTTTCTACTCTAAACCAATCTCTGAGTGCCAACATCATCCTGAACATGGATGCCAGGGAGAAGAAAGAAGAAGGACAGGGCATGCCCAAATCCCTCAATCTTGGACCCCCTGACCCCCATGTACAGAATCCCAAACCCCCCTGTACATGGTTCCAAACCCCCCTGTACATGGTTCCAAAATTTTCCCTTCACCCCGTGCTTACTACTACTGTGCTACTTAGACTTTTGTGACCTGTGACTCTTCATACAAGGTTGGTAATTTCTCCCAGGGGCTAAGATCGAATCCCCAAGTGTTTTTGATCTTCTGCCAGGGCTCGTCAGCCCCCTGCCAGGGGCCCAAACCATCCAGCTCACCCAGAGATGACACAGCCCCTAGCTCCAGCTGCTCCCCATTCCCAGCTCCTGCTCCCAGTGGCTTTCTTTAAACAAGCTGGGTTTTTCCAACTCAAAAGCAGCAGCACCTGCAGAGAGTACAGGGCCAAATTAAAGAGAGGGATGGATCCCTACAAAGGGGAGCACCTGGAGGCAAAAGCACACCATCCAAAGTCTGTTCCCATATTCCCCCCAGTGAGGGCTTTCTGCACAGGAGCTCGGGTGGTTTTGTGCCAGGCTCTGCTCACAGCCTGTGCCAGCTCATTTTGGTGTGACTGAGTCACTCTGGTGTGCACACACAGGTTTATTGCATAGGTACCTGTCAGGGGAGGAGGATGGGAGTCTGCAGGGGTACATGCACCCTGCAAAGACTTCTGCTCTTTTTTTGGGATGAGGAACTAAATGAAACAATACTCAGTGAATGATTCAATAAAAGTTTCCTCCAAAAACCTGGGGGGGTCCAGCCCTGGGTTGATGGAAGGCAATGCAAGGAAAAGCAACACCTTCTAGAGGAAGGTGTCCCTCCCCATGGCATGGGGTGGAATGAGATGATCTTTAAGGTCCCTTTAACCCAAACCATCCCATGGTTCTGTGATTCTATGGAGCTCCTCAGTAAGGGTGACAAAGGTCCCCAGAAGGCTGACAGAGGAGGTTGGCTGAGGATGAGGCACATTTTGCTCACTTACTGCTCTCAGTGTAGAAACTGATATGCACTCACTGCACTTCATGTTTCTGCTTTTTCAGCAAGGGTTTGATAAGAACATGATGGGATCTTTAGCTGGAACAACCTTCAGGACCCTCTCCTCCAGATTTTAGAGCCTCTCCATGCACATTCAGGCTGCAGGTAAGAACATGGCCCTTGTGGTGGATTTGGGGCACAGGAATCCTTTGAGATTATTGCTACTTTTGATCACCCCAAAAGTGTGTTTGTGAGATTTTCATCCCAAATTTTCCCAGCCCAGTCTGTTTCTATGAGAGGTCAGAGGCTGTGCTGTCCCTGTGCCCAGGGCAGATGTTGACCTCACTGCCCAGCTGTGCATTTTGGAGATGCTCAGCACAGATGTCACAGGACAGACAAAGCTGCTGGGCTTGACTGTGCCTCTCCCCTCCTTTGCCAAGCAATCACTGATTCAGTGCATTTTTCCAAACCCTCACAGGTGAGGCTCTTCCTGGATTCTCTCTGGCACTGCCCTCATTCCTGAACTTTGAGCAATGTTATCCAGGCAGTGCCAGTAATGTGCAGTGGATTCTAGCACATCCACAGATTCAACCATTAGCCTTAGCAATTGTTTGAGCCCTTAATCTGCCTGTCAACCTCAGGTCAGAGTTGAGAACCACATTTTGTCAACAGAAAATCCCAATAGAGATTCCAGGGAAGAGAAACCACGGGCAGAATTTCCAGGGCATCATTATGGGTTTATAACCATTCAGTGAGAAATGAGGATTTAATCCATGAGGCACTTTTCACTCATGATTCCCACTGAAGGGAAAAGCTTTAAGCACTTTGAAAACACCAGAGGTCTCTTGGATAGTGTCCAAGATTATGCAGAGGGAATTACTTGCTCCCTTCCCCAACATGGTCCTTGTAATCAAACCAAGAGAAAACAGTGCCAAAGCCCCTTCCTTCCCTCTGCCCAGGAATGGATTTCACTTCCTGCTCTGTTGGGATGCTTTCACTGGGACTCTGAGGAGGGTGGAAGTCCAGGGTGAAAAGCTATGGGCAGCTGAGAAACTGCAGCCAGGCTTAGAGAAAAGATTAAAAGTTGGGGTTTGCTGTAATGAAAAGATCTCTTGAATGTTTTAATTATCTGGGGTTTTGCTTTTTCTTTGTTTTATTTTTTTTCCATTTCAGAATTTGGAGTTGGTTCGTGTCCAGGAAGAGCAATACTTCCATGATTCCTGAGGATGTTAAAGATGTAGAGAGTTTCTGAGTTCAACTCAACTGTAAAGCAAATCAAACATGTGGATTTCATGTGGATGACACTGATATTTTTAAGCATTTTCTTCTTTTTAGGGGGGAGAAGGGACTTTTATATACTTTCTCAATGTCAATAATTATTTTTTTGCCAAGAGTGTGTCTGTGTAACTCTGGGTGTGATGTAGAGGTGTGTGCAGGCAGCACACAGAACACACGTGGGGAGCAGGATCTTCCTCCAGCTCAGTCGCCTGTTTTCCACCCAAAGTCAGGGTGACTGTGCAGTTTAACCCCTTGCAGGATTTTGTTCCAACTTCACCCTATCCGTGCACCAAATACTGCCGTGCTAAAAATTTGTCACAATGTGTTTTTATCCACAAACACATAAAAAGTCAGTTTTAGGTCAAGTTCCCCCTTTGCATCTGTCCATTATTAACAGATACACACAAGGATGCTCTTCTTTCCAAGGCTGGTTATTCACAGTTATGAACAAGGGCTTCTTCTCTGCTTAGGATTTTTCTCTGATAATTGTTAACATTTTCTTTCCTGTCACATGAATTCTTTATCTCAAGAAGCAAATTGACACCTGCAGATTCTCTCCCAGGCCTCGGTCACCCTTCCCTGAAGCTGTTTGTGAGAGGACAATTGGGACACAGCTGCAGAGCTTGAACATTCCCAGCTCCTGATCCATTCTGAGCACCAAAGCAATTCCAGTTCCTGACTGTACCTGGACAGAGGTGGCATTTGAGAAGATGAGCAGGACAGGCCAAGTATTTTCCCCCTGGAATCATTGACTGCCAGAGGAATGAAAGAAGGAGGGATGTATCCTCTTTAATCACATTTTGTTTTTATTGATCAATGTAAAGAACTGGTACTAATGTGCAAAGGAATGTGAGAAGTTGTGTGATGTCAGGTTTGGAAATGTTTTATTTCTCGGGGTCTTGAATTGCATTAATCTGCCTGTGATGCTGAGGCTGTGATGAGGGACTGCTGAGCTCATTTCAGAGCAACTCAATTCTCACAACCTTCCTCTCTCCAGAAGAAAAATATCCTTCCCATGGAGGGGACACAGCTCAGACTCACAGGGAAGGAGCAGCTGAAGCTGTCTTTGCTGCCTGTGCTGGTTATTATTCCTCAAAGGGTGCAGGGGCACAGGAGGTGCTTGGGAAGGATGCATTATGAGCCTGGAAATAGAAAAACAGTCTCATTTTAAATGTCAGGCTCATTAATTGGTGGGACTCAGGATATCACAGGGGTGGTCTGTGCCCACTAAAGAACCCCCTGTGAAGTTTGGGTTTGCTCTGCTGCAGTTCCAGGTGGCCCTTGCTGGTCCCCCTTGGGAGCACAGGGAGCTCCTGCCCACAGGGAGAGGTCATTTCCAGCTGGTTTTCCTCTTGGGCTACAAAGGGTGGCTTCATCTTGTGCACTTTACTGAGCAGCCACTCTTTGCCCACATTCAGGCAGGAGCTTTCTGTGCTGAGCTGCAGCCAAAAGAGAAAGGGGGGAAAAAGCCCCTTTGAAGTGGAGAGGCAGGGCCAGGAGAATCCAGTCAGACAGAAATGTTCCAGGAGGGTTTAAACAGAGCAAAGAGCCCCAGTCTATAGGCAAAGCCCTTCCAGCAGTTCCCTTGCTGCATGTGGATTCCCAGATGCAAAATGTTGGAAATGCTTTGGGCAAGAGCCACTCAGTTCACATCCATGGGGTGATCTGTGCCCACTAAAGAACCCCCTGTGAAGTTTGGGTTTGCTCTGCTGCAGTTCCAGGTGGCCCTTGCTGGTCCCCCTTGGGAGCACAGGGAGCTCCTGCCCACAGGGAGAGGTCATTTCCAGCTGGTTTTCCTCTTGGGCTACAAAGGGTGGCTTCATCTTGTGCACTTTACTGAGCAGCCATTCTTTGCCCACATTCAGGCAGGAGCTTTCTGTGCTGAGCTGCAGCCAAAAGAGAAAGGGGGGAAAAAGCCCCTTTGAAGTGGAGAGGCAGGGCCAGGAGAATCCAGTCAGACAGAAATGTTCCAGGAGGGTTTAAACAGAGCAAAGAGCCCCAGTCTATAGGCAAAGCCCTTCCAGCAGTTCCCTTGCTGCATGTGGATTCCCAGATGCAAAATGTTGGAAATGCTTTGGGCAAGAGCCACCTGTGGATGTCCCCGAGGGCTGCAGCATCCACAGGGTTGGTTCAGTTTGGGTGTAAAGTGTTCTGTGCAATTTTGCATTCAGGTTTGATCTGTAATGACATGTCCAACACAAGTCCTGGGAGCAAATGTTTTCCTCTGGAAAACTAATTGGGGAAACAAAACTACAAAATGGAATGATGGAATATTGAGGAAACTCACTCTAATTAGCTGTAATTTAGGCTTTATTTTAAAACAGTGCAGCTGCTATCCCCCCGATGCACTTACTGAGTCACTGTTCAAGGCACAAGGAGCTGCAGTGTTATGATCATCAGCTCACAATTAAATTTACAGGTGCTGGAGGTTTCATTAGTGAGTATTGGACTCCAGGAGACAGATTCATCATTCACATAAATTTTATTACAAAAAACATTGTTACAGTTACTTTAATTACAGGGTTTTTTTTTTCAAAGCTAACAAAATGCTAAAAATAAAATCTGTCTCCATGCTCAAAGCTCTTCCAAACGTGACTGGGCACAGCCCTGAGCAACCTCACCCAGCTGGGATGTTGTCCCTGCCCTGAGCTGGGCACACCAGAGAGGTTCCTCCCACTGAGCTGTTTTTAGGATGCCGTTTGTCACTGCTTGCAAACCTCAGGGCAGAGCCCACTCAGGAGAGCCATGGGCTGCAGAAATCACAACCTTCCTGCCATTCCAGGGCTGCTCTGCAGCTGGATCTTCCCTGGGAAATTCTCTGATACCCTCTATTTTCCTCCCAATCTCTCTTTAAAATCTGGACACCAGACTCCACCCAAGTCAGTGAAGTGACTTTGATGCCCAACTCTGAGAAGTGAAGAGAAATTCAGACATTGGAGTAACTGGTGTTGCTCATAACCAGCAATTCTGGGAGCTCAGTGAGGTTCTCTCCAACATAAATTAATGTGGTTTTCACAGCATAATTCTATACGCTGTGAAAAGAGCATTAATTGTAATTTCTCCAGTATAATTGTGTTCATTCTGGGGAGGTAATTTTTTTTTTTTTAAGGCAAGATTCTAACTGTGACATCCTCTCTGATGAGCTGGTTTCCTTTTCCTTGCTTCTTGAAGAGCCAGGGTAGGGCACACCCTCAGGACAGGGACAGGGCAGGTGTGTGGCACAGGGATGGAGAATTCCTGAGGAGGAAGAAGGAGTGTGGCCAGCAGGAGCAGTTGGACACCCAGCCATGTAAATAAACACCACCCTCACTGTCCTGGGCACAGCAGAGCTTTTTTGGTCTATTTTCTTATAAATGCTTTGTTTATTTTGTGTGTGTACAATCCCACCCCAGCATTTCAGAAGCCTCATGGACAAGTCAAAGGCAGTTTCATTCCTTTCTGAACACACACCAGTGTAAGACCAACTCAGCCTTACCAGTCCATAGCTCTACAGTGTATTCTGTAAGATATAGATAGGTATGTGAGAAAAATGTCTCAGAGTTTTGTTTTGGCTGTACTGTATGTATTTGCTTCATTGGAAAAGCTGAAATCAATAAAAATTGCTGAAATTTCTTCAAGCTTTCTGGTTTGGGTGGTTTTATTTTGGTTGTTTTACAGGCTAGACTTAAGGAGGAAGGTTTTCACAGAAAGAGTGGTCAAATACTGGACTCATCTGCCCAGGAGGTGGTGGAGTCACCATCCTTGAATGTGTCTAAAAAAAGACTGGATGTGGCACTTGGTGCCATGACCTAGTTGAGGTGTTAGAACATGGGTTGGACTCGATGATCTTAAAGGTCCCTTCCAACCTAGAAATTCTGTGATTCTGTTTTGCTAGTGTTAGGAAAGAAAAAAGGTCTGAAAAGTCTGAAAAATCCTTGTTAATCTGCAGCAGGAATCAGCTCAGACTGATCTGCCTTATCCAACAGGAGCAAGGAAGCTGCAAATCCCATTTCCTCCAGCCTGGCACTGCCCAGGCTCCCCAGGGAATGGGCACAGCCCCGAGGCTGCCAGAGCAGCAGGAGAGTTTGGGCAGCACTGCCAGGGATGCCCAGGGTGGGATTGTTTGGGGTGTCTGTGCAAGGCAGGGGTTGCACTCAGCAAGGCCTGTGGTCCCTTCCAGCCCAGGATCTTCTATGAGTCCATGATTTCATCCTCAGTGGATTTCTCTCCCAACAGCTTTCGCAGCCATGACTTCAGTCCATGAAAAAGTTAATTACCATTAGTGTAATTTGTGTCATTGTTGAAAGCATCCAAAAGCTTTTTCTAGACCTGCCCCACCTGAGCTGTGGTTGAAGCTCTGTGGTTCTGATATTTATTCTGATATTTAAAAGGTGTGGTGAGGGCAAGGGGACCCTCCCCAGTTTCTCTCCAGGCCAGGCTGGGCAGGCCCAGCTCAGAGGAGTTCCTCACTCAGACCCAGCAGCTCATGGCTCTCAGTGACCTCCTCTGGACCCTTCCCCATGGAATGATTTCCTTCCTGAGCTGAGGGCCCAGAACAGGGCCCAGGGCCCAGAACAGGGCAGAGGGTGAGTGAGCCCAGGCTTGTGCTGGGACATCACAGCCCTTCCTGATCTCTGTTCCATCCCCCCCATACCTGATTTCCCTTGGAATATCAGGTTGAGCTTTTGTTGAGCTGTCATTGGGATGGGCTGGCCATGAATGGTCCATGGAGTCACCTCCACGCCCATCTCACAAAAGGAAAGATTATTTCACCCCACATGTATCACAACATTTCACTGTGCTGATGTTTGTCTGTCATTTACCTCCCTTTTCCTTCTGGTCTCTAGCTTCCCAAAATTCCACAGACATTCCTCCATCCTCAGGAGTGTCATTGATGTATCAGGTATGGCAGCTTGTAGGAAGCTCCCCATGTTTCACAGGCATCACAAACTGGAAAAGGGAAATACCTGCTCCTCTCCTTCCTGAATGTTCCTTCTCCTGATACCCCAATCTCCTGGCAGGTCCTTTCCCTCTACTGGGAGATGCTCTGACTTTTTGGCTCATTCTTCTGATTCCAGCTGGTTCTTCCTTCAGCTACTTTTGGCAGGTTTAGTGCAGTTTATGTTGAACTTGGAAGAGGTTGTGAAGCCTTTCCTATTTTTGTCTTCAGCTGTTTGAAAAACGCCTGCTGGTACTTCCTTCTCCTGCTGCTTACCCAGGCCAGCTGCCTTCTTCTGTTCCTCAGGGAATTCCTCACTGCTGGGATGTGCTGGACTGAGCTTCAGGATGATGAATGCAGCCCACATTGTCTGGAAACTTTAACTCCCCTTTTCCTTTTAAAAGCATCTTCCTCCAAGTTCCTGTTTTGGAGGATGAGCCTGTGCTGGTGGATACGAAATGGATTTTGTTGAACCCAGATTTTTCCTGCTAATCAGGAGCAAACTGGAAGCTGCACCTGCACTCTTTGGGGACTCCCAGCCTGCTCCATGGAATTGCTAGTGACAGCATCAAAGGATTTGGTCTTTCCACCAGGCCCAGCAGGAACAAGAGCCCAGTGCACTCGGGGAGAGCTGAAGTGCAAGATGAACAAAGGACTTTGTGCTCCCAGGGCTGGGGAGCACTGGGGTGTGCAAGCACTGGAGCAGCCTCACACAGGGGATAAGGAAGCAGCACCTCTTGATGTCCTTAAGGAGACTTTTCAAAGTAGACACTTGGCAAAAGGGAATGAGCTCAGCTCCGAGCTGTGTTTGGTATTTACTCAAGGCAAGGCTAAGGAATAATCCCCTACCCCTGCCAGGATCTCGTGAGCAGAGGATTTGCAGCCCATCAGACAGGTTGGGCACACTCTGTGAGCCCATGCAAGGGACAAGGGACAGGTGCCACTCCCTGCACGTGGCTCAGAGCTGCTTTCCAGGAGCATCCTCTGCTGCTCTGCTCAGGCTGCTGAAGGGTGGGTGAGCACAAAAGGATTAAGTACAAAGGCAAAGCAGCCAAACTCAAATGTCTTAACCAGCTTTGGGTGGACCCAACAGCCCTTCAAAGCCTAATTGCATTTCAGCTGTGATCACTGAGACTGCTCCTGGGCCCTGGCACAGCAGCAGTGTCTGTAACTGCCTTTCAATGTGGTACATAAATAGTTGTTTTGTAAAAGCCCATTAGGGAGCAGCACATCCAGCAGTCCTTGGAGGATTAAATTTGACATCACAAACGTCACCAGCTGGGGACGTCCAGTCTGCAACTTCTTCAGGCATGAATCCCACCTGACGTCACATCTAAGAAAGGTCAGATCAATGACGGGCTGGGAGTTGCCTTCTACCCAATCTGGAGTGTCTACAAGGAATGCAGGTGAGTCCTACTGACCATTCCTGAGTAGCTCCATGGACACTGGAG